TTCTCTCAATATACTTTGAGTAGTGGGAACCGATTTTTATCTCCAGTATCAAGTCCTGTGTAGTGGCGAATTTAAGGATTTTTCAATAAAACTTAGCAAATAGACATAATTCCACGTACTTTTGAGGTCGGTTTTTTTAGTACTCTGTACTGAGATTATTGAACCACTGTTGGAACCGTGTATGGACAATTTTATAATAAATACCTGTTCGAGTAGTGCGGAAAGTGATTATTTCATCGATCGCGAACGTACTAATATAAGCTATGGCAAATGAGGAAATGCGTTGAGATACGGACTGATTTGAAATCATTAATAACCGGAAAAATATTCATTTTTTGTTATATAAAGGAAGCACACGTTAATCAGTTTATATTTTTGTTAACTTGCTTATTGATATCCATGTCAATTCCTAGATTTACTGCAGTAAATGTTTTTAAAAATCGGTAAATCGTTTTACAGCTCTATATAGTTCACACGGAAATCCAAACAAAACAACAATAAAGTAGGTACGTTGTTCAAAATTCAGATTAAGCATAGTAATTAATATTCGTGTGCATTCGGAAATCCGGTGATAACCGAGGGACATTGAGAAAATAGAAGCTCTGTACACGTATGTTGTCGTATGCAACCAGTTCAATTTATTATAAATTTGGAACGATAATGGTATAATTAAATGGAATAATTGGTATGTATTCATTTGAAGTGGTAAGATAATCAATCAACACGTGTATGATTGTTACGTAATCATGACCATGTGATTTATAATACAAACATGAAATGCATATCACTGCGCATGTCATGTTAAAATGTATGGGAGAGTTTAACGTTAAAATTTTGGGTATTTCTAGTTTTATTTTTAAAAAAGTTATTCGTCGTTTTACTCATTAGGTAACGTGCTTTCGATGTCAGTTTATAGGTTTTTAATATATCTTAAATTTACGGAATAATCGCCTGGGCACACTTAACGATTACACTCTGCATAGCCATTAGATATATTACTCTAAAATATTTTGAGACTTGCAAATTGTGTTACGTATTGAAACTAAGTTATTATAATAATAACGCATACACTCAACATAGCCCCGCACTAGGGAATCTGCGTCGCGGGTGTCATAAAGGATACATACATAGACAACCACAAATAACACCCAAACTCACGAGAGAAATAAATGTAGGCCATACAAATATTTATTCCGGCTCGGGAATCGAACCTGGGACCTCTGCGTGGTAGTCGTTCGGCCACACAGGCAGTTGAATTTGATCAAGTTTACTATTTATTAGCTACTCCACACTTTGGTCTTTCAGTTTAACGCTTTTTTAACTTACAGCTCCGGTAAACTTTATGTAAGACCTAGGCTAGGTAGGCTATCACACAAAAATCGACAAATTGAAAAATAGTTAACTCGGCTAACTCTACTGTTGTGGTGCGTACAGAGTATTGTTTTCAAAATACAATTAGGTGTCGACACTAAATGTGGGTTGGCAGTAGCATTGTCACGCAAAGGGTGTCGCGTGTTTAGTAGTTTGCCGTCAATGCGGCGTGGATATGCGGCAGGCGGCGCGGTGTTGAGCTGACCTCCCGCCAGCGGGTGGTGCGCGCGCAGTTGCGCTGGCTGCCAATACCCCGCCAGCAACCGGCGAGCGCGCGCCTCTCGCCCGCCAACGCCATAAGTATCGACGCGCGTACTTGTGAAAACACCCCGACTAAACCGCATGCAATGTCCTAGCTTCCTTCACTGTGAGCGTCTTTGCATCTCTGGAAAAATTGCATATCCGAACACACTGCCGCATCGATTTACAAGGTCGCCCGCAGTGCAGTTTGCTATCAGCCTATCAGTAGAACACGCACTTTTCATGTAAGTAATCGTATTATTCGTTACGTAGATGTAAAAGTTACTATTTTTCTGAAAAATGTAAGTAACACAGTATTTATTCTGTAACTACAGAATTATTCATTATTCACAGATATATAATTTGCACAGAAAGTCTTGTAGTGATTAAATCCTGAGTGTATAACATCGTAAACTTGTGTTCTACAATAGTATACTATTAAAATTACTATATGTTTGAATGAGAGAGGCCCTATGCTTATTTATTTTTATTAATAACGTCTCTAGGGTATATATATATAAATATATATATTATCCTATATTATATATTGAATCGTTGTTGTTGTTTTTGTTGATTGGTACAAAACTTTTAAAAAGTGTTGAAGGCTGTATTATTTGCGTGAGCAGTTAATTCTTGATTTTCATTTCGTATGTAATGTATACAAACACATAATTAATGTGCGTACCATTTGATACAAAAAGATAAATAAATTATAAGTACATATAGAGGGTGGTAATTGGTATTATAAATTTGTATTGGTATTATATATTAAAGGCAAGGGAAAATCGTGGTTATCTGTAAGGCAAGCAACATTTCAGTGTTTACAAGAAGTTTTAATCTGTAAATTATAGCTACTTTTTTAGGACTTCCACCTAACGCTGCGATTGTATTGTATTTGTTATTGTTTGAAATTGTTAATTACAAATGAAAAGGATACCTGAATGTGATGATGTACTTTTCTAGCACGTGTTCAACTCTCCCTTCGAATTCGATTGCTTTCTAGTGAAACGTCACTAAATATCAAGCCACACTTATACTTTCTTAGGAATGAGGGAAGGTAAATAAATAAATAATGTATTTACTTATGTGTGAGTTGCGTATTTCTACAGTACTAAGTTGACATTTACCAATACAATTGTCGAAATCACTAACGGTAATTTAAAACATTTGGCATTACAATTTTTGTTTTTTCTATAACTGTCATCCTAGTTAAATTAATAAACAGTGAAAAAGATTACAATATTTTTAATTAGTTTAAGGTAAAAAAACTGCAATTATAATATCTTTACCGATATACTTGCGCTACCATTGGGTATCATTCTGTGACACTAATAACCTAATCGATATGCAACACTCCATCATAATGTGATTAAACCACAGTATTCTGCACTGAGTGACCTTTTATAACCTATTTTGCCTCAAATTTTTGCTTCAAACCAGAAAACCGTTCCAGTTAACATTCGCAAATAGCGTGAACAAAATTATAATGGCCAAGCGAAGTTCTGCTTTTTAAAACTTAGGTGAATTTGAATTTCTCATTAAGCGATCTGTATATAGATAGATAGATAGCTACAAACGGTCTATTCAGTAGCCGGTTGTCATTGGCCGCCTTTTATTTTTATTTAATTATTTTATTTTGTTATTAACAAAACTGTCTTATTGACTGTATTTATTATACATATAGTATCCGGCAATAATAACAGTGTCTGTTGAGGTTTACGTTGACATCCAATGCAGTACACCACAAGGACCTGAAAAACTAACGTAACTGATGTTCAAAAATGTTCAGTGCAAATGATAATTGTCAAGTCTCGGAATAACAGTCAGAGATTTTCGTGGGAAATGTAACCGGAACAGCATTGTCGCACAACACTCACAAGTAATGTAGACCAATGTTACAGTTATTGGATTTCATACCTATGCTAATAGTGACAAAATAAGTAAATCAAGTGAACGCTGACTGGTTTATTTTGCACCCTAAATTGGTGGTGCTAATACATATTTTTCTCTTTAGATATTAATTTTAGTGAAATGAGTTGAATTAATTAATATTAGACAACATTGCGGCGGTCCTACGCACAAAGTTTTCTCTCATGTAGACAAATAATTTCCTGAAATTTTCACTTTGAAAAATTATACTATCCTTGGTATTAGCTATTTTATATAATCCTTATCAGACACAGTGATTGCGCGAAAATTGTTCTGTTTATGTGTCTGTACGTTATTCATGCTTTAACAAAGCGATCGTTTTAAAAAATTTGCAATACTAGGTACTTCCTTCCTATTATTATGTACCCCTTTGTTGTAGTCTATTAGCTGTGACAATTATAGGAAAAATATTTAGTATTAAATCTGAAACATTATGAAAAAATTAAAACATATTCTTTCAAACGTGTCCAGAAGTATTAAACAGAAACTAAAACAAACTTAAGAGCAAAGTTCTTTGATTAAGAATGAATTGATGAGATGTAAACTTTTATACCCAAAATCAATATTAAGCATAAGAGCCCCATTGATTGTAAGTACTAAATAAAATGTGGGGCAATTAAATGTATGAGCCACATATAATAACTAAATAAAATTTTTAAAGCTTTTTATGCTACAGATAAATTATTTGTCTACTTCTTTATGAGTTACCAGCGGAAACTGAAGCATCAGAAGTGGCTCGAAATGCTTAGCGTGAATAGCATACATACCTAGTAATACCCACGTCGGCGTGTGTGCGACTTGTATTGTGACTACTTCGCCTGCGCGTTACGGCCCGATTAGACTTGAACAAATGAGAAGAAATGAGAGAAATAACTACCACCCGCGACTATTGTTATTAAAGACCCATGAAAATTGGCAAAGCAATTCTGCACAGCGAATCCACTCATTTTTTTCATTTACCTATCTATATAAAGTCCAACTAAGTCTTAAGTGTTTTATTTTCTTGACATTTACCTGTTTTGCATCACACTTAGGTTTCCTCAATTTTAAAGTCCAGTATGTGTAAATAATTAAAGTAATAATCCTCTCAGCACATTAATACCCAGTTTCATTTTTGACTTTCTAACGTGATTTCGAAATGACAATATCGTAATGCATATCTAATATGAAAAAATAAGTGTAAAAGTAATTCCTACTTCGAAAATGATTTTTTTCTACGATATGTTTTCAGTCTTCGCTCTAAACACCGAAACCGTACGTGAATCAACTTCAATAACGTTTCCAAGCTTTCCTTTAACCGTATTAATTTACTTGGCTACCCTCGTTTGTAGCTACAACCTCAATTGCCTCTCGGATGACAACACATTTTATTGATTGCTTTTCTAAGTTAACATGGTTTATAAGTATACATATATCTAACCTCTTTAAAAACTTTAGAAACTGGAAAAAATCTTTTTTTTTTGAGTTTCTAAAACTAACTGTCATGAAAAACAGTTATCTTTTTTCTACAAAACTTAAAATATAACCCTGTTAATAATAAACAATTTCTTCGAAATGACGCAATGTCTACCTTTCCTTGATTGGTATTCGCTACTATTGCCCTCTTGAAACATACATGAAATCTTTATATTTTTTTTATTGTGAATAATTTCTCTTATAAGCTTATAACACTAGACTTTCAAGGATGCTTTAGCGAGGGATTTCGCCTGCGGCCCCCAGTGATTCGAAGTTTTCGCTAAGGATACGCAGGTGTAACACGAGGTTGACGATTTGAACCTTTTGAAGTTCTCGCGATGGAGCCCACGTCACCCACTTTTTTGTGGACGTGCCAAGGGCCTACAATGTTGATTCAGACCGTCCTTATTAGATGTCTACCCATGTGTCACGCACTGACTGTCATGCCATCAAACATCTTGCTGCCGTTGTATTGATCAGTAAGGCCGGAGGAGACATTACTGAGTGCGGCGGAATATTCGACCTCGAATGCATAGGATCGTATAATATTTAACGACATATGGGGATTGATCTGGGAAAAACGGTCGAATATTTCGGTGATATTAGTACTCTGATTGTTTATGAATGCCAAGATCGATTCATCGAGGATGAGCGTGCCTAGCATGGGATCTTCTGCAAAGATGATAATAAAGGTGATACTAGGCCAGGAGATTAAATTTTTACGTAATATCCTTTACACTATTCACAAATTTGCTTCTATATAGCTCTAGGCAGATGAAACTAAATTCATCACCCTATAAAGTGTTTTAGATTATCAAGAGCGTTTTTAGGGCCGAAAGGGCCGTTAACCACCCGGCAAGGCACCTGAATTATGTTGAATTTGGAACTTTTTGATTGGATGGACGGCCAAAGAAAAGATCTCTCAAATGGTTAGATACGCGGCTGCTGACAATAGATTTTTTCTGTATATTGTTAATTTCATTGTATTTTGTAACATTGACGAAGATATGATAAAACTCCATGTATAGTACTGTTTGTAGGTATTTTACACGTCTAATTTTAGAATCTTTTCACCCCTGTCCTATGTCAAGTACGGCCCAGTGGCGCGGCCCGCCTTTGAGAAATCCCATATAAATTTATTTCATCATCATCCACAGCCTCACTAGGTATATAAATTTATTTACTATATTTAAATATTGGTAGTGACTTCGTTTTAATTATCTTAATATGAAAGGTATTCACCTGTTTTTTGCCGTCGTTTGGCATTGGTCTCCAGTTGTAATTCTGATTCCGTCTGTATATTATACCATTATTTCGCTGACAAATTTTTGTAAGTAAGTATTTACTTAGGCCTAATGTCCAAAAGGTCAACAACTTTGTTGTCAGAATAGTTCACTTTATATTCATTTATTTATTTCGACAGGAAAGGTTTAAAAATACAATAAAAGTTTAAATACTAAATTATATGAATAAAATTGAGTCCCCGCGGCGAGGTGCCCAAGATGCAGCGTTCGTATGCTAATTTGGGTAAGGTAGCTAGATACCCTTGAGTTTTCGTTTATTTTATTTATTTATTTATTCATGGAAAACCAACAGCTTCAACCATTTAATAAAAATAGAGAAAGAAACATAAAGCCAATTACAGGTTTCCACCTATAGCAGTGTTCGTTGCCAGTCTATTTATTAATTTTTTTGATAAAATCTTGTGAAGACGAAGGGGCTGGAGCCCGACGGGCTAAAATTTCGACACAAAGGGTGCAAATAAATAGTCAGTCGAGGTTTTGGTACTTTTATTCTTTAGTTTTTGTGCCAGCTCAGCTGTGGAGTCAACCCTCTTGCCGGTGTGCTGGAAATGGGATGG